AAGTAGTCGAGTGTTCAAATAGTATCTCGTCAATGCAGCTTTCACGGGCTCTAGTGCAAACATTCGAGTGGATGCCAGTATTATTATTGCTTGAAGGTTTAGTAGGCAGGTTATCAGTGGTTCTTTCACACTGGATTCCTCGTCATTCATCTCTGCTAGCAGTGTGAAAGAGTTTGAAACCGGGATATTAAAAATATCCTTTGTACTTTCAGATTCACTAATTTTTGTTTGTTTAGCAAGAGGCAGGCATCTCCATTCCTCTGTGTCGTCTATATCTCTAGAATCTCTGGTACGTTTCCCAGTTCCTCTCCCACAAGCAGGGCTGTATAGTTGCTTAGTCATTTCTCTCTTCATGCAACCGCCCCAGTTTCAAGGTTAATGGTTGTCTCCCCGATAGAAAAAGGCGTCCTCCTACTTACTAATTTAAAACTAAGACTAAAAACTAAAAACTAAAGTTAAAAGTTAAAAGGTTTCTATACTCATTAAAACAATGTTAAAAGATAAATCAGGGAGCTCACACTCACGCTGACTAAGTGCCGTTCCGTTCTGCATATTCTAACATTTTAAGTTGCAAGAACTATATGTAAAATTACCATGCAAGCACAAAGGTGGTGTGGCGGTTAACTATGCAAGAAAGCACATCAAAATTAATTTGTTGAAAGTCAGGGCCACATTAGATTTTGAATTTTAAAAGCACAGGCGTTCAACAAGACATTGAAAAAGCTTTCAACATTATAAGCATATCAGAATCCAAACTTCTTTACTTTCAATGTTACTGTAAAACCTGGCATGGGCTAGAATGTAAAATCTTATTATCACCTGCATTTTATCCTGCACTAATATTTTATTCTTATTTATTTATTGCTATTAATTTATTAGGATTATTTATTTATGCCTATAAACATTTACACATGACACAAATTGCTCAGTACAGAATGAAATACACCTTTAAGGTTGCAGTGCTGACTAGAGAATAAATCCCACTGAATTTCATGCCTAGGCTTGGGCTGCAAGTAGTAGGGTATTTTTGCACACTAGCACAAGTCACTGAGAAGAGGCAAGCTATATATAACACAACACACACACACAAAAATCCTAAGCTCTATCCGGGCACACTGCAAGCGTGAAAAGCCTACATACAAGCTCCACCCTCTGCACTGCCCTCCAACTCATGGAGAGCAACTGTGTGAAGTGGGGAGGAGTGGGAAAGAGAGATAAACTCTGAACTTTTGGTATCGTGCAATACTGATCCCTGAACAGCATCACAGATAAACAAACGGTTGGGAAAATTCCCCATGGGATACCACTGTGTTTTCTGAATCACCTGGCTTTGTGCTGCTTCAGAACAAGTGTCCTTATAAATAGCTGGTGACCTGTAATCAGACAAAGCAATGCATTAATTCCACTCATTCTTAAAGAAAAAAGACAGTAGCCAAACTCTTGACTCAAAATGAAAACACCTTTTATTGTTAATGCTGTTTTGCAGGCTTTCAGTATGCTCTTGTAAATCATAATAAACATTTGGCAGGGTTATTTCAAGTATATCGTGACTGCATCTATTTATATAAATTAATTCAGTTTGCATTTATTTTGCATCCTATATTTGCTGGACTTCAAATATAAAGTACACTGCCTTTCATATACCTGTGAGCAGATACTTATTAAAGAATATATTTGAAATGAAAAGGATCAAAGCAAGGAGCAACAGCAGGAGTCATCTCCTCAGTAAGCGACTGAAGGCATCCAAGGAAACAGGGGTGGCAGATAAGCCCATATAGCCTGACTGCCAAATTACAGCAGGCTCTCCTCACAAAGGACCATTGTAAAGAGATAAGCACCACTTGGGGGTGTCTCTGCTGAAATGTTCCTTGACATTCCAGGCTGTGACAGAGCTTTGCACACAAGTGCACCAGAAGGCAGGAAGGCCCTGGCTGGGGACAACAACAGGTGCTCAGCTTAAATGGAGCCAGGCCTCAGAAAAGCTTAGGGCTTCCCCTGAATTTCAAGCATCAGGACTCATTCAAGCAGTCAAGTGCGACAGGAGTAATAAGCAGGAACAATTCAGCATGTGAAGACTGCCTCTCTCAAGGAAAGGAAGCAAGGGGCTCTACACTCCAACTCTTAAACTGTAGCCGAGTGTGTGTGTGTGTGTGTGTGTGTGTGCCAGTGCCACACACACACACACAGAGAGGGTGTGTGTGTGATTGAGTACTGAGGGAACCAATATACAGTGGTGCCTCGCGTTAAGTACTTAATTCGTTCCAGAGGTCCATTCTTAACCTGAAACTGTACTTAACCTGAAGCACCACTTTAGCTAATGGGGCCTCCGGCTGCCGGAGCCCGATTTCTGTTCTCATCCTGAAGCAAAGTTCTTAACCCGAGGTACTATTTCTGGGTTAGTGGAGTCTGTAACCTGAAGCGTATGTAACCTGAAGCATATGTAACCCGAGGTACCACTGTATTCTTTTGCACTTGTCACACTTTGAGCTCACCTCTGGCAGCATATGAAATTGTCCCCTGAGATAGCTCAGTCGGTAGAGCATGAGACATTTAAAATCTCGGGGTTGTAGGTTCCAGCCCCACATTGGGCAAAAGATTCCTGCATTGCAGGGAGTTGGACTAGATGCCTCTTGGGGTCCCTTCCAACACTCCAGTTACTATGTCTCTAGGGCACAGACTAGGCAGGTAGGTGACCTTGCTAAGCTTATCCAGGTCTGGGAAAGAAGGGACTGCTATGCGCAGCTGCCTTGCGGTCTACTAAGGAAGCGCGGGAAACGGACTCAGTCTTAGAGCTGCGTCTCTGAGCACGCGCAAAGTGAATTTCTGCCGCCCCTCCAGAAAGACGGCCTGGATTTCCTGGCGTTCTTCGAACGAGAGGGGCGAGAGGGGCGCCCGGCTCCCGAGGAAACTTTCTCCTGAGCAAGGGGAGGCGAGCCCGAAGGGCCACCAGGCTGCCGAGAAAACCCCTCGCGGGAGCCTCTCGCAGCTGGTTAGTCGGCGGACTTGCGAGTAACAGTAACTCCGCCGCCAGAGCGGCCCCTGCAGCGTCCCGCCTCCCGTTTCGCGCGCTTGCCGCCGCGTCGCCCAACTTTTCCCGTCGGGGCTGCAGCCTTACCTGCCGCTCGCTTCTGAGGCGCCTCCGTCCCGCCGTGGGTCTCCTCCGGCGGCAGTTCTTCCGAGGGCGCCCTCTCTCGCCGAAGGAGTCGAGGCGAAGCACGCGCGAGCCCCCGGGGTGGAGGTTTTGACTAAAATAGGCAGCGGGCAGCAGCCGCCACCAAGTTGCGGGCGGCGCCAGCTCTCCCTTCGCACGCCGCCTGCTGCGACCTCTCGAGAGCGGCGGCGGCGGCAGACGCAGCGCGCAAGCGCCGGGAAGGCGAAGGCACAGCCCCGGGCAGGCGGGCCCTTCCCTCCCTTCGCCGGCTGTTGGACGGCGGCGGACTCAGGCAGATGAAAACTGCTCTGTGGCTCCCGCCGTCGGGAAGCGTTTGAAACGAGATTCCGAGTGCCTCTGAACATGGGCCGAGTGTTTCTTTTCAGCACTGAGTATCAGAGAATCTATTAGGTCCCAGCTCCTCCTCCCCCTTCCCAAAAGACCAATCAAACGCATAAAACAATGTTTAATTAATGCTTCTACTGCAGAGGGTACTAGGCTGCTGTGCTTTGGTTCAGGAACCGATGGCCACCTGAGTAGCGCGACAGGTGTGAAATAGCCTGCTAATTTCTCAGATGAGGGAGGAGCTACGAATTAAAGAAGGAGGTGAGTCCCACATTTACTAGGAATCCGTATTCTCTGACTAGATGCCCTACTCCCAGTTCCCAGATAAGGGAGCAGGATTTGGATGCGATGAGGAAAGTGGAAAGGCTGTAGCTCCAAAAGGTCCCAGATTCCATCCCTGGCACCTGCAGGTAAGGCTAGGAGACACACCTATCCTGAAACCAAGGAGAGCCACTGCCAGTCAGTGCAGGCCACACTGAGGTAGATGGGCCCCTGGGAGTAGCCAGGATTTATTAGGGGAGGGCAGAACCAAGTTATCTGCCAAACAATTGCTCAGTTAAGTATTTCTATTTAATTACTTGACTGGGGGAGCAGCTGCCCCCACCGCACACACCCCCCCCGGCTATGCCCATGGATGAGCCATTGGTCTGACATGGTTTACTATGTCCCTGTGAAATATGATGAAGTGGTTAGGCAGCAGAGCTGGCCTGCAGGTGAGACAGGGTAAAGCAGCCACTTCAGGCGGCAGAAATGCAAGAGGCAGCTTCCTGTCTTCCTCGCCACTTCAGGCATCACCAGAGCAGCTGTGCTTTGGTGCTAGTGTCCCCCCACCTTGCAGTGGAGGGCAGCCAACACTGAAGCTCTCCAGAACTCCCTCTTGCCCAGTTTGAGCAAGAAGAGGGGATGTTCCAGACAACCTTGCAGAGTTTTGCCCTCTCCCCAGTGATGAGGTTTGCAAGGGCCTTTCCTTGATGGTCCACATGTGTCTAGCCTTCTGTCTTTCTCTCCCCCCCCTCCCTCTCTCTCATTTCCCCTATAATTGTATCTAGATTTTCTCTTACTCTTCTTCCCATTTCTTACAATGTACGTACTCAATTGCCTCTTCTCACTTTCAATCGATTCTCATCTATCTAAATACATGCTAATAAAATAATAATCTGATTTAAATGCTTTGGAAGAAGGAAAATGGGTATACATGTTTTAGAATGCAATTCCCATAAATGTGGGAGGTGTTTTCATTTTCCCCTACTCTCTAAATAATCGGGAGTGTCTGTAAAGGCAATGGCAGGCATGAAACTATTAAAATTGTAAATCAACACCAAGGAAAGCAGTGTACAATAAATTGTTATTCATGCTATGCATCAAAAATACATCTAGAGAAAGGATCAATGTATCTCATTAATTCAAAGCCAAGGAACAACCATTTGAAAGTATTATATCTTCATAGCTATTAAAATATTTATAGCAATTGCTCATTTTTCTTCTAACGTTTCTGAGCATCTTGCTGTTCATCTCGTCTTCTACCAAAAGATGAAAATACATTATTTCACATCATATATAATAGTGAATGTATAGGAGAGAATCCTCTTCTACTTCCTCATGGAAGTGGTTGCGGATAAATTTACTGATGTCTCTTGACAAACCCAATACAGTGGTGCCTCGCAAGACGAAAAGAATCCGTTCTGCGAGTCTCTTCGTCTTGCGGGTTTTTTCGTCTTGCGAAGCAAGCCCATTAGCGGATTAGTGCTACAGTATTAGCGGCTTAGCGGGCTTAGTGGATCAGCTGATAAGCGGCTTAACTATAAGCTGATAAGCGGCTTAACGATCAGCTGATAAGCGGCTTAACGATAAGCTGATAAGCGGCTTAACTATAAGCTGATAAGCGGCTTAGCATCAGCTGTTAAGCGGCTTAACGATAAGCTGATAAGCGGCTTAACGATCAGCTGATAAGCGGCTTAGCATCAGCTGTTAAGCGGCTTAGCCATCAGCTGATAAGCGGTTTAGCGGCTTGGGAAAAAGGGGGGGGAAAGGAAAAAAACCCCGCAAGAACTCGCAAGACATTTTCGTCTTGCGAAGCAAGCACATAGGAAATTCGTTTTGCGAAGCACCTCCAAAACGGAAAACCCTTTCGTCTAGCGGGTTTTCCGTCTTGCGAGGCATTCATCTTGCGGGGCACCACTGTACTGACAAACG